CCAGTCATATCGCTTCACGCTCGCTCCAATTTAAAAGAGGGACAAATATTCTGCATGCCTAACAAATGTCACCTTTGCCTTATATCATAAAGAAAGAAACCGAAGCCTTATATCATAAAGAAATATGAGCAATGGTAACATTGCCACTCAGAAAATATTTATTTTTAAGCAACATATAGGCAACAACGGACAGGTTTAGCAATGGCATTCCACACAAAAATAGGCTTAACAATAAAGGAATCAGTGGGCTTAATAGCCTAAAGAATATACAGGCTAAGCATCCACGTTTTAAATTCCTCAATTTTTTTCTGTTGCTGCTGCTGCGTCTTTACAAAATAAAATTTCACTGACAGCGTTATGTGAAATTTAAAAAATCCTATTAGACCTACTTTGAATGACAAAACGAATTTATTTGATTAGCAATATTTACTTTATAGGCTTTTATACTTTAATTTACTTTTTAGACTTGATATGCTACAACCATATAAAACTTGCTCAGGTTTTGCTTGCTTCCGCCTGTTCGCGTACACTGTAAAAAAATCTATTGTTAATGTCAGTCAAAAGTCTGGCAGGTCCTGAAGACCAATAGTACTGATGTATATTTGCATAGCATGACAGGGTACTGCCTTTATTTAAACGTTTAACCATGACGGTGTTGAATAGGGCAACACTATAAATTCCCCAGCCACGGTGCAAAAAAACTTTTGTCACTACAGTTGATTCTCGTAGAATCTTTTTGGGTGGTAGTCGTGAAGACAGTAATTAATGGGAAGGTCTTCTCAATGTTTATTTTGATGCAGGTTATGAAGTCTGTTATTCTCTGCAGCTTCTGAACTTGCCTATTCTCATAAAGACCAATAGTGCTGATGTGCATTTGGTGAAAATGTTTTTCACTGTTAACAGGTTTTGTCTAGCACTCCTGCTGCCAGACTTTTGACTTATTTTACAGCAGATTTGTGTGGTGTGTGGCAGCCTCATTGCATTTAGATCACAAGTTGGGACAGAAGAACAAATCAAATCAATTTGCTCATTTAATATTTAAATTTTTTATTAGGCTTGATTTTTGGAAACCCATATTTATAAACCCACCGCAACTGAAAATGGAATGCCACAGATATTACTCTCTACCATGTATTATTAGGTATGTGACAGCCCAGCATGATAGCTGTTTATCTAGGGTTCAGTGTCAGCAATCTGACTATTGCCGGTGAATACCAGGAGTAATCCTACTCTGTTTTGCGTTTGATGTCAATCTTCGTCCAGCCTGCTTTGGAAATTTAAACATAAGTGAGCGCAGGGGTAAGTCTAACACTAGACATAAACTTACTGGTCTTCTGGGGTATAGCTCACGTGCCTAAAACAGTTCGTTACGTGAGGAGGGCAGCAATATTGCAGCCAAAAAATTTATCTGAATCTATTTTTATGTCTGCCACTACACAAGATTCTACGAGAACACACTGCTGCGGCAGTAGTTGTTTTGTATCGTGGCTGGGGAATTTATAGTGTTGCGCTATTCAACACCATCATGGTAAAAAGTTTAAATAAAGGCAGTACCCTGTCATGCTATGCAAATATACATCAG